CATATGTTAAGAAAGGTAGAGGTAGTCCTAAAAAGTCTTGGTTAGAAAATATTAGAAATGCTTTTTCTTTTTTAGATTTAAATGAGAATTTGACTTTTAACAGGACACAATGACGAGAAAGGATTCATGTAGCCGACCTCACATAGTGGGACAAAGGCTTGTTGTTGTTGTTGTTGTATCAGTTATGTCTTTGACCTCACAAAATTCAGAGACATCACCCAGTGTTTTAGAAGCTGCCTAAATAGACCTACTCTTAACATTAATGTTTGTCAAGGTGGCTGCTATAGTCTAGCCTTCACAATGAATTGATAGATTGAATCGCTCTCTTCCATAAAGATGGTTTCTAAGACACTCATCCTAATTGCCTGTCTTGTAGGGCGATGTATGTAGAATCACTCTTGATATTGATTTCTGCCTAAATATAAGCCCTTTTAACTTTAATATTGGTTTAACAAAATTTATTTTTTGCATAAAATTTCTTAAATGACTGAATTGGAGATGAATCCATTGTATCATCATTAGACATTTAGACTTATCCCAACTGTTTGGAGATGCCCATACAAACATAATAACTGCATTCCAAACCTTTATACTTATCATTTAGTTCACAATGACAACATTTATGATTGCTTTTTTGGAAAGAATTAAGATAAGTCACTGCTTTAAAATGAGCAAAATTTGTTGACGATTTCGGTTCATTTATTTTACATTTTCAACACGTTTTAGATGCATTTCAACAGCTCATCTACCTGCATTTTCAAACTGTAATGGTCAACACCATCATGTAATTTAACCATATATTTGCACATAATAAATGCTTGCGTTATGCATTTTTATAAATATTTTCCAATTGATTCTATAGATTCAATTTAATTTAATAAATTTAAACCATCAATTCTAGTTACTTTATAATTTTCTTAGTGCAATGTTTCGAGCATGTATTGGTTGACAAAAAAATATTTTAGAGAACTCGATCGGATAAATAATATATTTGTCATGGTTGAACATAAAGACAGCCATGACAAATGAATTTTTAAGATATAGAAACTGAAGGGAGACCCATCTTGCGAAACAATATAAAATAAATGTAGCATATTGTTGAGACTTTGACTGTACTTGTAGCATATTGTTGAGACTTTGACTGTACTTTCTAAGTAGAAGGCGTTGGTACAAATCCCCTAAACATGTTCTGTTAAAATAATTTTGGTTTTCAATTATTTTAATTATTACACTGTCTTTAAATCAGGTATGAGAAAGGAGCCTACATGTTTGGGCGCATGGATCTATGTGATTTTGTGCTTGAGCATCCAACCATTTCTCGATTTCATGCTGGTATGCAACTTTTCATTTATGGTGTTTTGTTTTTGACTGAACAATCATTTCGACATCGATTAAACTTTTTTTTTCCTTTTCCTTGTGACTATTTGTAATTTCACTGCCTGTATTTTTTTTAGATTTATACTGTTTGTAATCATAGATATTTTTGTATTTGTGGTGGGATTATTTTTAGGGTGAAAAATGCACTAGATACATGATTTATTATCTGTCATTAATCGTTTAAAATAGTAATCCTTATCAAATAATATTCATGTATGTCATGAGCTTAACCTTGATCATTAATTTATTAAAAGTAGATGGGAGGGATTAAAAATTGTCAGTTTAGTTAATTTTAGTTAACGTGCTTTTTGCAAAATTGGTAACCTTATCGGTCCATCAAGATCTGATGTTTACTATTTACATCTCTCATGTTGAAAGGATCTTTCACATTTGATATAGTTTTTATGTTGTCTTATGATATAAAACGAGGATAAAGCTTTTTGGTAACTATTATTGTTGAGTGCTGATGTCGGCATATCAAGAATTTTAGGTGGTATTAGTTTCCCATTTATAGCATACAATTATTTTAATTGATAGCTCTTGTATGATACAAAGGCTTTTTTCAATTCAATCTTGATCAGGTCCCAGTCCAATACCCAGTAGGAACTACCTGGGGGATTGAGTCTTTCTGATCTTTGGCTGTCTTTATTCAACTATGAGCTACTCAAAATCTGTTGCAGATTTCTTAAAAGCAAAAATTAGTTTATTTAATTGTGATGAGCTCAGACTCTTTTGATCAACGGAAGCATCTATCTGAAGCTACTGCAAGCCTAAAAGAATGTTAAATGTGATATATTATATATGCATCTATGATTATATGTAAAGTGTTTAGGGTTTAGCATTTAGTGCTTAGGATAGCAATAGCTTGAATCATTATGCTTAATGGTATTAATAACAAGTTCTTTGAAGTAAGAGTTGCTATAGATGGCTGAGGCAAGGAGTGCTTGCAAAAGTGGAAGCAATAATTTGTTTTTTGAATATGCACTTCTGTGCAGGATTTCAGTTAACCACTGAACTGAAATATTGATAGGTACTACATAAAGTGTTCAATATTAATGAACGGTGTACAATTTATGAAACTAGGATAAAAAATTACATTAAAAAAAATCAAAACTCGAAATAACTTGAAATTCACTTGAAATTTGACTCAAAATAGATTACATGGTTCAATTTTGAGCTCCACTTAGGACTTGAAATCAATTTCAAGTTGATTTTAAGTTTCAATTGACCAGCTCAAATTTTATTTGGGTTGACTTGGAGTATGAAAAGAGATAAGTAAGTATATATATATATATATATATATATATATATATATATATAATTTAGAATTAATTAAAATATTTCTTGAGTTTACTTGGAACTGAGTAATTTCTAGTTAAGTCAATCAATCCGATTTGATTTAAATTTTGATTAAACTTCGAGTCAAATTAGAATAAAATTTTATTCAAGTCGACCCAAACTCACCACAAACTTGCCTAAATATCAACTAGATTCCTTCGTATTCTTCAAATGGAAGGTTCATTTTGTCAGCTTTAGCCTTTGGTCCTAAAACCTAAAGCAGCTCACCTCTATCTTTTTTTACTTTCTATTGCAGCGATTGCGTTCAATTTTCTTGCTCTCATAGTCTCATTGTTTTTGCAAATTATTGCTCACAACTTTGGCTTGCTAGTTAGTTTCTGCTTGAGCCTTCCTTCTCGAGCTTCATTGATGGGGACATTAGGTCATGGAAGGTTTATCAGAGGCGTGGCCGCCGATCTACGGCCACGATTGAGTCATTGTATTTTTGATATATTCTATGTTTTTTCTTATTTATGTTGTTGCATTTTATTTGCTTTATTTAATTTCTCGTTGTACTCTTTTATTAAGGGATGTCGTATGTAAGCCCTAGGGGCATTGTTGTCTTTTGTCTTTGAGTCCTTTGTATGAGGCTTTATTTAGCCCTCATTGTTCTCTTTTGAGGTTAATGAATGAATGCTAATTTTTCTTCCCTTATGATTTCTTTGTGAGATCGTATGAGCATTTGAGAGAGAAATCCCTAGGAGAGGGAGATCGGATCACCCACCAACCTTGGAGACGGCTGGGTTCCTGGTTCCTTATTTTGTGTTTTCTCATTACTCCTCCTCCCAAGCCTTCAGCCGCCTGCCACCAAGCCTTACCCATCCACCTGCCGGTTTCATCACCACCATAAAACCCTCCACCATCCCCACGGTCAAATCCCACCCGCCGGCCCCATCTCTCCCCTTCTTCTCTCCTTTTCCCTCCCAATGCATCATTTCCTAATTTAGATTGAATCAAAATTGGACAGATTTTGAATTCAAATCCAATTGATTTAAAATCCAAAATATTTCTTAATTTATGAAATCTATTTTAGGAAAGCTTCTTAATTAACTCCTATTTGAATTTCAAATTAAATAGGATCTAATTAAATCTTTCCTATTTCCTAAATCTAAAATAAGAAACCCAATTTAATTCCTCAAAATCCTCTCCCTCATCCCTAGTGCTGCCGGCCCCTCTTGGATCCCCTTGGAAATTCTTTCCAAAATTCAAGTTGCTCTTTTGGAAAGAATTCAAAACCCTTCCTTTTCTATTGGCCGAAATTCCCCTTGCTCCCCACCTCCTTAAATATTTCCAAAACCACTCATTCTAAGTTGGAATTAAGCCTCAAGCTCTCCTCCCTTGCTTGCCGAAAACTCTTTAAGGCTTCTGTGCTATTTTTCCTCCACAAATCCCATCCCACGTGGGGTTTCCTGCTCTCCAAGACTGCTGCCAAAAATTTCCTGCAACCATTCCTAGATTCTCATCAGCCAGAGGCTTCGAAACTGCTGCCTTAAAGGGACAGCTTGCTGTCCAATAGCTTCCGCCGGATTCTTTTCACTGTAGCACCATCGAAGAAGTATCTCCTTGCCGTCCAGCATCTCCCAAAGTCAAAATAGCGACTTCTCGCATGGATGGCTGACCCAGAAACAGATTACGACCTTGCTTACGACGAACACGGGTTCGTGCACATTCTCCATTCAACCTTCTTCGACGTCAACTCGAGAATCAACCATACGGTGGAAGACTACATAGAGCTACGGGTGTCAATTTTTGACACGACTCGAAACACAACCCGACCCGAACCCGACATGGAAAAATCCGGGTTAGGGTCAACCCGGACCCGAAACGGGTCGGGTTCGGGTTCAACAAATCAACCCGTTTTAAAAATCGGGTCGGGTTCGGGTTGACCCAGCAACCCGAAAATGACACAAACTCCTATTTGACTCGGAAACCCGAGATTGGTCCATTTTTGACTCGATTTTGACCCGCAAATTGAAGATTGACCCGATTTTGACCTGAAAACTAGCAATTTTAGGTCAACTTCGGGTCATTCGTGTTGGGTCGGGTTGACCCGGACCCGAATCGGGAGGTCCAGAAACCTGACATGTTTTTAAAAACGGGTCGGGTTTGGGTTGACCCGAACAGTGCCGGGTCAGTTCCGGGTTCAACCCAAACCCGACCCGTTGACCCGAATTGACACACCTACATAGAGCGCATCTTGGACACCTTGGTTGAAGCTATTGAAGAACAACATGAGATCGTTGAGTGAAGGATTGCCGCCGATCCTTGACGGAGGTTTTACTTTTCCCTTTTCTTGTATTTCTTAAGTCTTACATTTTTCTTGTGATTTGTTGTAGTTACGAAGGACAGATTCACCTGATTCTGCTAAGCTTAGTAAACATAGGAATTTGAGTACATTCATTGTCTACTTATCTTATTTTTAGACTAGGGATTTTGTTGAAACTATTACTTTGGCATATTGTTGTTTTCTAATTTATTTTGAGGACCCAAATCTTTTGGATGTGCAACTTAGCCTAAATGAAAGTGTATTTCTCTAATCAAGAATTTGTGCAAGTTCTTTATAAAATTCATTTGCAAACATCGTAGTCCTACATCATCTGGTATCAGAGCATGGTATGCTCTTTTTGCATGTGTTAGAATCCTTGGTAGAATTTTTCTTTCAGCATTTTATTCATTCCACCGTTGCATTTGTGTCATTTAGAAATTGTTAGGTTGCTGTCCTTACTTTTCTCATAGTCATTTCACTAGACATAAGGGTGTTCTAATCATATAACTTGCTATCCTTTACATCCTAGTCACCTTAGATGTCCTGTAATGATTTCCCAATGGACCCGGAACAACTAGGAAGGACCTTAGACTTGTTGGTAGGCCAAATGAACAATATTAATCATCAACTCAAAGAGAACCAAGCCGACCTAGCTGAACTTCGTAGGAACACCACTGAGCGATTTGACACACTTGAGCGAGCTAGACAACATCCTACTCCCTACATCTCATCTAGACCACCTTCTATGTATGGAGATGACACTTACCCGGATGAGAGGCAACACTGTGCCAATCATCGAGCTCCTTACCATGGACATGACTCACGTCATGATCCTGATATACCACTCATGAAAAAATATTAAAGTTGACGCTCCTACCTTTGATGGCACTCTCGATCCCCAGCTCTTCATGGACTGGATCAAAGGTATGGACAGTTTCTTTAAGTGGTATAACATCTCCGAGGCTAGGAAGGTTAGTTTTGCGGAGATGAAGCTCACGGGTAGGGCTAGTCAATTTTGGGTCAACTTAGAGAGCCTTAGGGAAGCTAGGAATGATTACCCCATTACCGATTGGCCGTCCATGAAACGGGAACTCAAGCAGAAGTACTTGCCTCCCTCGTACTTCCCCCGACTATTGGACAACTGGAATAGGATGAATGAAGGCAACAAACCAGTTAAGGAGTACATTGCTTCTTTCGATGACTTCCTGATTCGCTGCAAGGGGGAGACCTCTACCACCCCAGCGCAGATTTTGTCTATGTTTCAAACCGGGTTGCGAGAGGATCTTCGCAATGAGCAGTTTGCCCGGAACATCACTACACTGGAAAATGCCTACAACCTAGTGCTTGATTT